AGTCTTGTTTATTGTTTTGGTACTTTGTTCATAGTCTTGTTTATTGTTTTGGTACTTTGTTCACAGCCATGTCTTCCTCATTAGAGTGATTATATTTTGATACTTTGTTCATAGTCTTGTTTATTGTTTTGGTACTTTGTCTCCACTCTGAGAGTGCGTTTTCTGTTCAATAATACTCCTGGAACTAACCACCTCTCTGCGCCTGAGTCCTCCCTAAGCTCCACCCCCCCTGACAGGGTCAGGGAACACTCACGGTCGATGGTGACCCCGGTCTGGGGCTTGTGGTCGCTGCTGGACACCTGCCAGACGTCGAAATTTGTTAAAACCTGCCATCTTTTGTCATTTCTGACAAAAAACCTTCTTTTGGCTCCATACCTGGCAACCTTAGGAACATTTTTTTGTTAAAACCTGCCATCTTTGGTCATTTCTGACCATTTATGGCGGTAAAAAATCTTATACTGGCTCCAAACTTGGCAGAATTAGGAGGAAAAAAAAAGTAAAAACCGTCCATCTTTTCTCATTTTTGAGCCTTTTCTGGGGTAAAAACACTAATTTGGCTCCAAACTTGGCAACATTAGGAAAGAAATTAGGAAAAACCCTCATTTGGCTCCATACCTGGCAACCTTAGGAACATTTTTTTGTTAAAACCTGCCATCTTTGGTCATTTCTGACCATTTATGGCGGTAAAAAACCCTCATTTGGCTCCAAACCTGGCAACCTTAGGAACATTTTTTTGTTAAAACCTGCCATCTTTTGTCACCTCTGACCATTTATGGAGGTAAAAAACCTTATACTAGCTCCAAACTTGTCAGAATTATCCATATCTTTTTCCAGAACGGGTGCGATTTGGCCTGAGTCCACCAATCAGGACGGAGAACACTCACGGTCGATGGTGACCCCGGTCTAAATTAAAACCTTAATTTGGCTCCAAAGTAGGCAGAATTAAAACAAATAATTAGGAAAAACCTGCCAAATATGGTCATTTCTGACCATTTATGGCAGTAAAAAACCTTATAATGGCTCCAAACTTGTCAGAATTATCCCTATTTTTTCCAGAACGTGTCCGATTTGGCCTGACCAGCGGCAGCCAATCAGGACGCAGAGCACTCACGGTCGATGGTGACCCCGGTCTGGGGCTTGTGGTCGCTGCTGGACACCTGCCAGACGTCGAAGGCGTCGGGGGGGGAGTCGGGCAGCAGCCGCAGCATCAGGACGATGGTGTAGGCCGGGGGGAGCCCCTCAGGGTGGATCTCCCTGAGGGGGAAAAGTTAGACCAGTGGTTCTCAAACTTTTTTCAGTGATGTACCCCCTTGAAAATATATTTTTAGTCAAGTACCCCCTGACACAGGCAAAAAAAATTTGGAAGAAAAAAGAGGTACAGTGCTGTAAAATCACCGTCTTATTTATTAAAGCCAAACGTAACCATGGTAACGACAGGTCGTTGACAAGTGCGCTGGGTCAAACTAACTTGGTGGGGGGTCCGTTTTATTTGAAAGGATATTAAAACTAAATACTGAATATAAAATGCAGTGCATGAACACACATTTATATTCTATCGAACTTTTTTTTTACAGGATAATTTCTCCCAAGACTTATTATGAGGAGCCTACTGATTTTTAAAATATATTTTGAAAAGCTTCGCGTACCCCCTGCAGTACCTCCACGTACCCCCAGGGGCACGCGTACCCCCATTTGAGAATCACTGAGTTAGAGAATTCAACCCCGATTTAACCCCGTAATGCAGTGTTTTTCAACCACTAGTGTGCTGTGAGTGATGGTCAGGTGTTCCGTAGAAAATCATCCTATTTCACCTCATAGGTCTAAAAAGATTGTTTGATAAGTAATTAATTATCTGCAAATAATATGCCATTTCTGAGTGTCTGTGCTGTACTAGTGACTGGTGGCGTAATCATGTAATAATTCCTTATGACTAGATTTTGTATTTAATTTTGTATATTTAAGTGGACATGCTAAGAGCAATTTGAAAGAAGAAATATAAAATACGATAAAAATACATTTTTGTGGAATCAAGACACTTAAGATAAGATAAGAATAAAATTAGAATAACTATAGTGTTACTATAGGCGGATACAGATTTGTTTAACATTTTTGGTTGGTGGCCTCGAGATTTTTTCAATGAAAAAATTTACCTTGGCTCAAAAAAGGTTGAAAAACACTGCTGTAACGAACGCAGTTACATGGGCATTTTTTTGTGTGAATTTATTTTATTCTGTGAATATGAATATGTTTTACTTTTAATATCTATTTCATATCTTTGTGTATTTTCGATTAATATGTAAATACTTTTGAAAATGTTGTAACAATGTTATATGGAGATGTCGCCGATTGGGTTTTCACAAAATCACGTGATGCCTTTGCTGTGAGTTGTTTACAATTAGTCCGTGTGCAAGAGAAAAGGAAAAAAAATGGAAGAAAAAGGACTTCTAATAACTCCTAACATTCTGGTTGGAGGGGCATACGGTACGGACAATTTAGAAAATGTATATTTTGTTTAATAAGTTTCCTTTCATAATTCATGTAGGTTTTATTGATGTATATTTTCCACCGCGTATTTTGCAGCGTTCACGGTGGTCTTGGGCGTTTGCATTACGGCAAATCCTTTAATAAACGTTTGGAACCATCAGTTGGATGTCTGCACTTTCATAAACCAGTGAGAAAAAGTTGGGAGCAGCTATAAACCCTGTAATGCCAAATGTGTCGTATTTGATACATACGGTTTCTGAAATGTTTTGTGTCTGACTCCTTTTGCATGATTTAATGGTAAAAACTTTGCTCAAAATCCTATTTTACACAATCAGAAACACCTGATAACAGGGGGCAGAAGACTTATTAAGACTTCAAATTATTAATATTAAAAAAGTATTTCTGTTTTTTCTTTTTACATATTTTGTTAAAAGGCCAATTAAAGACTTCAAACAAAAAAAGTAATTTTCTGTTTAGTTTTCTTCTTGGTTCAGGCTTTAAAGGGTTAATTTAATGGTAAAAACTTTGCTTAAAATCCTATTGTACACAATCAGATACACCTGATAACAGGGGGCAGAAGACTACACAAAAAATAATCTTGACTTATCACATAGTCATAAATTATTAATATAAAAAATGTATTTCTGTTTTTTCTTTTTACATATTTTGTTAAAAGGTCAAATAAAGACTTCAAACAAAAAAAAAAGAAGTATTTTTCAGTTTTATTCTTGGATCAGGCTTTAAAGGGTTAAGCTGAGGAGCACCTGTCCTCATTAGGGTCAAACCTACTGAATCATTCTGGTTCCTGTACACACTGAAAGCTACCCACAAAGGGGCCAAACCCCACAGCTCAGATGATTTACAGATGTTCGAAGAGGTAAGGTTAAGTCTTAAGTAAGTTTAACCCTAACCCACTTAACCCTGTAATGCCAAACGTGTCATATCTGATTCATACTGTTTCTGAAATGTTTTGCGTTAAATTTGATTTGATTTATTAATTTATTGCATTTTTATTTTTTAATTTGTGCATATGCAAGAAATACAAAAAATATATGTTTTTTGGTATGTATAAATCTAATTTTTCTTTTCTTTATTTATCATTATTGTTGTTTGTGTGTCTGTTTGTTAATTCACTGCTAAACGAATCAGTGAAGCTGTGTGAACCAGCAGCCAGACGCCGACCTGCTGGATTTTTACTCTTATTATGTATGTATGTATATATATATAATTTTATTGTTATTGACCTGGTGGGTTTCTATTCTTATTATGTATGTATGTATATATATATAATTTTACTGTTACTGACCTGGTGGGTTTCTATTCTTATGTATGTATATATATATATAATCTTATTGTTACTGACCTGGTGGGCTGCTGCAGGAAGGCGTCCTTGTGCAGCCGGTAGGCCGTGTAGCTGTTGAAGGACCCCGTCTCCATGGAAACGCCCCGGATGTGACTGTAGGTCCTCTCCGTCAGGTTAAAGGCCTCCAGCATCCTGAAACCTTAAAACAGGACACAGAGCCTCCAGGTGAGCCTCCAGGTGAGCCTCCAGGTGAGGGGGGGGGTAGTG